TGTGCATGCTGGAAAAGCCTTCAAATTCAACATTTTAACAAAACAAACTTGTGATTCCTCCCTCAACCCTAATTCTTCAGCATTTGTTCTTGCTGGTGTGCTTAGTACTGCCCAGTCACTGGTGAGGGTGATGGACCACTCAGGGTCATTCCCATCTCATTGTCCCATCACAACCTCTATTCCTTTCAACACCAGCCCTGAAGATCTTACCTGCTAATAGTCTTAGGTCTTTCCCCTTATTCCCACTCTGCCACCAGCATCTAGTCTGAGCTGCCTCCACAGCCATGGTGCACTGACAGGCGTCTGAGCCCAATCCTGCAGCTCTTAGACTCGTCCCTCCACGGTAGCCAGAGCAAGGGGTCCACAAAGCAGCTATGACTGAGCTGTACTCCCCAGGTCTTCACTCCAATGCACACAAACTTGGCTTAAAATGCTTCAAGGGCACCTCTTTGGGATTCTTATGGAATCAAAACCTGAAATCAGAAGCACGGCCTATACAGCCATTATTGCCAGATCTCCCAACTCTCCAGCTCATTTTGAATAAACCACCATCACTGTTCTTTGCTGCTGTCACAGGAGCCTTCTCTCTGTGAGCCTGGGCTTTGTCTATGTTCTTTTGACGATCTGGGACATGACCCCTACTCTGGCTCCCAGCAACACTACAAAGCTCAGTTCAGCCATGACTTGCTAGTGAAAGTTCTTCCTGGGTGCCCATTGAAGTCACATTTCCACTGATATCTGTTACCCAGAGAACCACCAGTCTCTAAGAAGAGCATAGTTGTAAGGTGACCTCCATTGTGGGGATCCTTAATGCCTATTCCCCAACCTAAGGCAGGGACTGATTTCTCTCCTTACCATGACACCATGGGAAAAATCCTCAATCTCGGTAATAATCATTATTATTAATTATTAGTTTTTCCTATAGGGCATGATCTAGCCAGAGAGAGAGAGAGAGAGAAATCACTCCACACACACACACACACACACACACACACACCCCAGAGGAGTGGTAATCCTCCTCCTGCACCCTCCTCTCAGGGGTTTTGGCATGTACACATACGTGTCCTGCATGATTCTCAAGCTGCCAGGTCTGGGACTCAAACCACGAAGGTGGCCATGTAGAATCTAGCACCTTAAACTCCACACCACCTGCTGGTCCAGTAACTTATTGAATAAATTAATATTATTGTGACCAAACAAGAGTTCAAAGAGATGGCCAGAATGCCTACAAATAACCTGAAACAAAATGTATTTAGTGCCCTATCTGGTACTCCATACACTAGTATTTTCAGTCATTCATGAACCCACTAGTTTATTCATTCCACACTACTTCCTTGGCCCTAACGACCCTTATATTCTTTGTCACTTGTCTCATTCTTACTCACTTTACAGATCTCAACTTTAATGCCATTTTCTCATATATGGCCAGAAAATATTTATTAAATGAATGATGACCCTATTAAGTATTTATTGATTGCTATAATTAGGTGCCAGGCAGCATGCTAGGGCCTGGGGATACAAAAATTGATATGAAACTTTTTCTGCTATCAGGCCCTCATTTTGTATTTGAGGACTGCTGTCATGCAGAGAGATAATGAAAGCATAATACGATGGTACGGTGGGGGAGGCGCCTCCCACCTGTGAGACGAGGCGTGAGGGAGTGCTGCTGCCGTTTCCATCACGCTGGGGAATGTACACATCCTTCTTTCGGGATGAGCTGCTTCCTACCTCTTAGCTGTATCGCTTTGACCACATCACCTAATTACTTACTAGAAAGAAAGAAAATCCATACTTTAAAAACATTGCTGGAGAATTTCTCATATGGAGAAAATTTAACTAAACACTTTGATGGGCCATTTGCAGATGAAACAACAGGCCCCAGAGCATCCGTTAGAAGACTGGTTGAATTGTTTTACACAGAAAAATGAAAGGAGTGTGGCTATGGCAGAACAGCTGGAGGAGGCTGAGCAAGAGTTCCAGAGGGAGATGAAGACATGTAGGGAGATATAATGAGGCCCTGGGAGAACAGAGAGGCCGAGCCAATACCCAGGACCCAGGCCTAAGGACACACACACACACACACACATACACACACACACATACACACACACACTGCCAGGGGTGAATTTCCTTTGGTTTTGCTTCTTTTGAAAACAGAGGTATCTGTCATTTAGTTTTAAATTGTTGTGTTCTGATATAAAGTCAACTAAATAAGAATCCTTCTCACACCGTTCGATGTCTTTCAGTCCCTAACATGAGTACATTCACGAGAAATTTGTATGAGCTAAAGTTATCTGACAGATACGCTTGTACATAACAAGGAAATAAAAGCAAGAAGCCCTTATAGTCCTCATTCCTGGCATCCTTGTCTTCTCCTTCCCTGGCAAAGCTATGTGCTTCTACCAGCTTAATGACAAACACAAAGCCGTTAACTTCCCTGGGGTTCCACCTTAGACAGGACCACAGGTAGGCTATGTAAAAGGCAAAAGCCACAATCACAGCATGGAACGATTTCTCTATCAGATCAGCTGTCCTACTGTAGCATGCCTCAGAATCCTTGACACAACTTCTAGACACATTTTAAGTTGGGAATCTCGGAGTTCCCAAATAGTGATCTATTGATAGGTATGTTAATATGTCATTTTCCAGGATATTTATTTATACATTTGTTTTTATATTTTATTTTATTTATATATTAAATCACTGTACATCATTACAACATGCAAAAGGAAGTTTCCCAGCATGAATACACTGTATATTAGTTCAGTTAAAGATCATCATACACATTATCATCAACAGATATTTTTCAATTTTTGTGTCCCTTAAATGTTTGCTTTTTTTCTTTTTCCCCTTAAATCACTTGAAGGAATTTCAAAAAACTCATGGATAATGGAATTAAAGTATGAATTAAATTTGATGGGGGAAAAAAAAAAAACACGAAATCCATGCATAGTGTTTGCTTATTTGTTCATTTGTTTTTGCCACAGGGCACGTGTACTCACAGGAGACAGAGACAGACAGTGACATAGAAAGTGAGAAATCACCCCCAAAGGAGATGGCCACACTGCGATCACTTTTTCTCCATTCTCCTCTCAGGATTTTGGGTGCACACACACACACACACACACACACACACACACACACACACGTGTTATTTTCAAGCTAGTGGATCCAGGAATCAAACTGCGGTAGGCCATGTAGGAATCCAGCTGCTAACCACCACCCCACTGCTGGCACCTTATAAAATTTGATAAGACCCATTCCTATGAACTGTTTGAAGACCCCCATGTACATGTTTAAGCTACAGAAGAACTGCTAGGTCATTTTGCCCAAAACAACAATGTGCTTTTTCTGCTTCTGTATTTATTCCTGCCAACGTTTGATATGATTGTTTCAGGTAAATCTAGTTCTCCCTCACAAGATACTTATGTCCACACAAAAAGAGACTATAGCATATACCAAATTTCTATCTCTGGTTGTAACTAGACACAATGTTTTGTTTTGTTGTTTTTTGTTTTCCAGAGAGATTTTTGCTATAGGATGAGTGCACTCACGGGAAAGAGAGACAGAAAGCAAAAAATCACCCCCCAGTAGAGAAGGCCACACCACAATTTCTTTTCCATTCTCCTCTTGGGATTCTGGACATGCACACAGACATGCCTGGTGTGAGTTTTAAGCCACCAGGTCTAGGACTTGAACCATGATCGACCATGTGGGCATCCAGTGACGTATTTATTATGTCATCTGCAGGTCCTAAAATGTATTTTCTTTAAAGTACTATACAAAGCCTACAGAATTGAATTAAACAAAAATGGTGAATTTTGTTTTGAGTTAAGAAGAGATTTTCAGATAATTTTTTAAATTAGATTCCCATTAATAAAACAAATGCTGGAGCTGTAGATAGATCACCACTCCGTGTAGTCAAGGCTGTCAGAGTTCTCCAGGAGGCCCAGCTGCACCCAGGAGATTAGCCTAGAGCTATGTTGTCGCTACTGTAGCTACAGCCCAATACAGTTATTTCAGATTAAATTTAAATTACTGAAACTTAAATAAAGTTTAAAGTCTAGTTTCCCAGTCACACTAGCCACATTTCAAGTGCTCCACAACTAGAGAATGCACATGAATAATGTACCCTGCAACACAGAAAGTTCTAGCAGACAGCAGCTGTGGAATATATTGCCCATCACAGAGTACACTGACATAGAAGGGAAAGACAAGTGAACAAAAAGTGCAAATGGGCTTTAAAAGGTCCATGAACTTCAAAATGTCCATGCATTCTCTTTGATGCAAAAATATTTTTGAAATCCATGCATTTTTCTCCCTATAATACACATTTTCCATGAGCATTTTAAGACTCTTCATATGCTGACAACATAGGAAGACTTGGGGTTGGGCTGAGGAAACTTCATGCTCATTGCAATTATTTCTTTCCTTCCTTCCTTCCTTCCTTCCTTCCTTCCTTCCTTCCTTCCTTCCTTCTTTCTTTCTTTCTTTTTTTCTTCCAAAGGGGAAGTTTCCGTTAAAAGGATGAAGAATGCGAAGTTCAAAATTTAAGTAATTTGGGACCAGCAGTTAGCATAATGGCTATGTCGCTGGACTCCCACGTAGTTGACTGTGGTTCAAGTCCTGGACCCAGTGGCTTAAAACTCACGCCAGGCGCGTGTGCGTGCATGCCCAAGATCCCAAGAGGAGAATGGAGGAGAAGGAATTGCAGCGTGGCCATCCCCCCTGGGGGGTGATTTCTCACTTTCTGTCTCTCTGTCTCTCTCTTTCTGGTGAGCGCACATGCCCTATAGCAAAAACCTCTTAAAAATATTTAAGTAATTTGCCTGAGTGAGATAATACCTGTTGGATCCAAGATTTGTATTCTAGTAAAAAGTTCAGATTATCTATTATGACACCATGGTAGTCACAGGTATGACTATTGTGACATAATATGACAGCATGATTTGTATTGGTAATAGAGAGTTGTTGGCCTCCAATAAATTTAGTCAGTTATGGCCTGAATGTTTGTATTCCTCTCAAAATTCATAGCCTGAAATCAATCCCCGGTGTGATGGTATTTGAAGGCGGGCCTTTGGGAAGTAAGTAAATCATGAGGGTGGGGTTCTCATGTTGGAATTAGTGCCCTTATAAGAAGATACCGGGGGGCCAGCAGGTAGCGTGGTAGTTAAGCCCCCGAATTTCCACATGGCTGACTGCAAATTTGACTCCTGGTCCTGGAAAACCTCAGACTTTGAAAAATCACACCAACAGTGAGTTTTTACATTCCCGGAATCTCAGGAGGAGAATGGAGGAGAAGGGATTGTGGATGGCCATTCCCCTTGCCCCCGCAGGTGATTTCTCACTTTCACTCTCAGGACTCTGTCCAGAGCACACACCCTGTGGGAAAAAAATCTTAAAAAAAAAAAAAAAAGAAACAAAGAAAAAGAAATTACCTGGGAGCTACAAGAAGAAGCCATCCATCTGCAACCTGGAAAATGGTCCTCACTAGACCCTGACCAGTCTGGCATCCTAATGCTAGACTTCCAGCCTCCAAAAGTCTCATGTGAAAAATACACACCTGTTTTTCATCGGCTACCAATCTACAGTACTTTGTTACAGTCGCCTGAACTAGGGCAAAGTATAACAAGTGATCTTCTAAATAAAAGAACAAATAAATACCTGCCATTATTAATGCTAGGGAAAGTGCACCTATTTAATTATATATGCCAATATTTTTTATCTTGACTCTTCTCCCTCTGTTTTGAGTTTGTGTAATCTGAATTCAGTTTCTTAGGAAAACTAAAATGTGTGAACACCAGCATATACTAGCCTTTAATTGGGAGTGAACACAGGAAGGAGTTTAGAAAACACAGACTTCGATGTAAAGTTTAAATAAAAGTTAGGAAAATCTGATATGCCAAAAATGTGTATAAGACATACTTAGGTGGGAAAAAATTTTAATATGATACATTTTTCAGCTTTAAAATAAAAGAAGCCCATATGTAAGCGACTTCAACTGACCACGTGACTGAGAAGCAGCTGCCTGCCGTATTACCTGCATTTCCCCAACCTGGTCAGGCCAGCTAGTGAGGGACTTCCAGTCTCCCCGTATCTCGGCTGTGCTGGTAAAAGAACTGAATGACATAACCTTCAAACTGGGGATGATCTGATGACAGTTAAAGTCCACTGACATCTTTAGTTCAGTGTACAGAACCGTTATGGACCATTGAGAAGTCTGCTTTTTTCCCTCTTTTCTATTTAAATAATAGGTCAGTGTGATCTTGGTTGACTGCTAGTATCTGTACGTCGAGCTCCACTTGCAGATGTCAAGCTTCTGGTTACGCCGCTGACGTAACTCGTAATATGCCCCCTATCTAACTGCTGTTCCTCTTTATATGCTGTAGAATTTGAGAAGTATAAAACATGCAAATTAAGATTATGAGAAAATTGCCTCCTTTATTTTCTTCAAAAATGATGATTTTTATATCCACGGATATCTGAGTAAATTCAAAACTATATTTCAAATCATTTCCACTTAAAAACTAAGTTAGCGATGAGTACTTGCTTTGTGCAATTTACATTTTTGGGTGTTCAGAGGATGGGAATGATGTATAAGAGAAAGTTCATGTCTATAAGAAATTGACAGTCATCTTGAAGACACACTAAAGCATAATTAACTCCTCCTAAAAAGTTGGGGTGGGGGGTGGGACGGCAACAATGCAATGTCTGTGAGGCTGAGGTGTGTGGGAAAGTTCCGGGTGTGCGTCTAGAGACCGCCTTGAACTCACTGGGAACGTGCGTGCCCACGACCCAGGGTTGACTGAAACTGCAGATGGATCATGGTATAAAGGCTCCGTTGGCCATGCCTGTCTCTCTGTCTCTTTATCTGTGTCTCTTACTCATGGAAGAAAGAAAAAACTTTTTAAAAAATCAAGGTAGGGAGAAAACTGAGCATGAAAGTGATGGTATGTAAGGAGAAAAATCTGTCACATAATAGATTTATAAATTTGATTCTGTGTCTGCCCCTACTGAGCTGGTTGGAAACCAAAAATCATAGCCACTATTTATTTCATTACCTGAAGCTTAAACAAGACTTGGAAAAGATCATTTTAAATGTTATATAGGAATTACACTTCATCAGTTGCTTGAAAAATTGAAACTAACAGACCTGTACTTAGATCACAAGTTTGTCTATAGTTAGTTTGATTTCATTCTTTTACAACATAGCTCTTAACTTTATAAAATAGTCCTTAGTAAAGATTCACATGACTACCATTATTTAAAAAGTACTATGTGTGAGACTTTTTTTATTAAAGTCTTCAATGAATAATTAACAATATTAGGCTCAGGCATGATAGTATGCACTGGTTGATGCTGCTACTTGGCAGACTTGGGCCTCATAGAAGGCCTGGGTTCGATTCCTGACCCACCCTAGAAAGTCAAGTATGTTAGTGTATGCCTGTCACCCCTGTTATTTGGAAGGACAGGATAGGAGGCTTGCAATGCAGTGAGTAGCTGCACAAAAAAAAAAAAAAAAAAAAAAAAAAAAAAAAAAAAAAAAAAAAAGAGAAAGGGAGGAAGAAAGAAAGGAAGGAAGGAAGAAAATTGGGACCAGCAGATGGTGAAATGGTTACATCACTGGATTCCAGTGTAGTCAACTATGGTTCAAGTACTGGACCTGGTAGCTTAAAACTCACACTGGGTGTGTGTGCACGTATGCTCAAAATCCTGGGAGGAGAATGGAGGAGAAGGGATTATGGAATGGCCATCCCCCACCAGGGTAGGTGATTTTTCGCTTTATGTCTCTCTGTATCTCTCTCTTGCCTCTTTGGCAAGTGCACATTGCTCTATAGCAAAAATCTTCTAAAACAAGAAAGAAAATTAATAATATTAAAGAATAAGTTTTTGTTTTCGTTTTTGTTTTTTGGAGAGGTTTTTGTTATAGTGCACATGAGCTTGCCAGAAAGACAGAGGCAGAGAGACAGAAAGTGAGAAATCACCCCCCAGGAGGGACGGCCACATCGCAATCCCTTCTTCTCCATTCTCCTCTCGGGATCTTGGTCATGCACGCGCATGCACCTGGCATGAGTTTAAGCCACCGGGTTCTGGGACTCGATTTGTGGTTGACTACACAGGAGTCCAACAACATAGCTGGTCCCAACTGCTGGTCCCAAAGAATAACTATTATAGTATTCACTGTACAACAAGAAACTAAGTTTAGAAAGGATCAGTGGCTTGTCTGAGGCTTCACAGCTTGTGAGGGAGAAGCTGGAATCTGAACAAAGCTCTATATTATAGATTTCCTCTTTATTAGTGCCTTAAAATTCAATCTCATCTATAAGATTTTCTATAAAAATAAGAAATTATAAAATATATAAATAAATATATAGAACAGATTTATTTAACAGTAGAGACATTCAAGAACCCAGCATTTAATTTTTCATCAGGATATATTAAACATTTTAATCTGCTTATTTTATAAGTTTGAGTCAAAGAACATTTGCAAAATGAAGTGAAATTTACAGACCTTTAGTTATAAAAAGTGTTGTCATTTTAGACTGAAATAAAATGAATCAAATGTAAAGATTTTAACAATTTCAAAGAATGGATTTATTAGATATAGCTTTGGTAGAGATGGGGAGAAAGAACCATTTTTTTGAAGAGGGTTTTTTTTTTTTTTTTTTTTTTGCTAAAGGGCGCGTGCACTCCCCAGACAGACAGAGAGAGACAAAGAGACAGAAAGTGAGAAATCACCCCCCCCCAGGGTGGATGGCCCCGCAATCCCTTCTCCTCCATTCTCTCGGGATCTTGGCCATGCACACACACCCGGCGTGAGTTTTAAGCCACCGGGTCCGGGACTCGAACTGTGGTCGACTACGTGGGAGTCCAGCGACATAGCCATTACGCTAACTGCTGGTCCCAAGAAAGAACCATTTTTCATTCAGTGCAGAGCTTTCTTTATAGTTCTCTATTTAAAGCTATATTGACATTTAGTAGGCTTCTCTCTGATTAAATATTTTGTATTTTAACTAAATACAAGAACTGTGGGCAGGAGATGGGAAACGGTATGGCAGGAAGGAAAGGTGGCACGTGTGCATTCAGGTGAATCTAAGCCGTGTTCACCTTCAGTGACAAATGCTTAGCAAGTTACAGGGAACATGTGGAATCTCCAGAGAATGACACAGCCAGGCAAAGGGGTCTTCCATGTCGCTTAGCAGTTGGGATGCGTCGCTTAGCAGTTGGGATGCTGCCCTTTGATCAAGCAGCCCACAGCTTTGTGGACAGGTTTTTGAGATAGAATAAGGACTGCATAGGCATATACAAAGCAAGTGGCTTTTGTTTTGTTGGGGTTTTATTTGGGTTTTTATAATAATGTGTACAACAATTTTATGAACTATTTGTCTTGAGAATTCTAATATAGCTAGTTAGTTAACATGGTATTTTAATAACCCTTGGTTAATGTTCACTCAACAAATCACTACCAAAAACCCTTCAAAGTTAGAAAGATATATTAAATAGCATGCTAATGGTACATAATCATTTGAACATGGACAATATTAGTACTTATTTTTGAACATGTGATTTCCAAAGGCTTAAGTACTATACTTAGAAACCACTAAAGGAATTTTGTTAAAGATCGACAACAGCACTATTAACAGACAGACATTTTGTACTGACCGTTCTCTATTTCTTTCTATCTCTCATTTCTCTCTTTTCATCTTTCTCAAAAGTTATCGTAATTCTTGGCCAACTCAAATATCCTTACTCTCTTAGGATGTTAAGGTGAAATTTTGAGAAATCAAACCTGGGACTTGATATGTGTGATTCATATAATCATTTGATGGCATCTATTCGCTAAGTTTACAAAATACCTATTTTTAATTTCTTATGTCTAACAGTACAATTATTGCCTTTTCAACCTTCATATTAATTTATTTATTACTTAAAAATAGCTTAATGATGAACGCTCTTTCTTTCTCTGTGCCCAATATCTCTTCATAGTTATATCTGGCTTCTAGCAACTCATTTTATTTTTCAGAAAAATTGAGGTTTTCATGAGCTCCTCTCCCTTAGCTATGTGTCAACTAGATTTCCATGT